AAAAAAAAAAAAAAAAATTTGATTGCTTTTTGAATTATTAAAAAAGTTCTTAGAAAAGGCACTGCAAATGATAACTGAGTACATTTTCTAGAAGTCAGTCCATTTGCAACACGTGTTTACAGCTTTTTTTCAGCCTTAATTTAATACGAAGTTAGTTTTAGTCATCGACTTAAAGTTTCATTAGAAATGGTCATTTGAACAACTAGTTTTATCTTCAAAATTTAATAATTCAATAAAAATCTGTGGCTTATTGTAAACTTGCCGGTTGTGCTGTTAACTCCTTTTTTTGCTTTAAAGGTTTTTAAACTTCTCGAAAAAAATATAGAAGTAAGGTAACATTAATGAAACAATATATGTAGGAGGAAAAATAAAAATATTTTTTTACTGATTATAAAATAGGATATTTGAAGATTATAAAAGAATTGAATTTTCAATTTGTAGTTTTAGATCACCAAAAGCTATACGAGCTATACGGACTTTGTTTTAGACTAAGCATTACAGAAATGCTTCTTTCTAATTTATTTGATAAAAATGTCTCTGATTTGTTTTTCAGTAGTTAATGAGTACCAATAAAAGTAGATTTTAGTTGTTTACTTTAAGATTTTTTGAACGGAGCTTTAACCATTTTTTATACTGTTCAAGTTAAAGTCCATGTAGCTCTTTGAACAGTAACTATTATAGTCTGTTATAAGTATTGGTTTTTTTTAGCACTCAGCAATCAAAATTTCTTAATTTTTTCTACTCTCTACTAGAAATATGTTTATAGCGCCTTCTTTTTCAGAATGAACATAAGCAAGTGGTGGATGAAAGAACTCGTTTACTTTCTGAAAAAGCTAAATTAAAAGAAAAGCTGCAAGATGCTGAAGCTGATATTGAAAGTCTTAAACTTGAGATCAGGCCAGCGATCAGGCACGTTTGCATAATTATAATCGCAGATGTATGCACTGCTGAGGAAAATTTGAGTAGCATTATTTCGCTCGTTGTAGGAGTGAGCTGGAGCGACGTTTTGAAGAATCTCGATATCGAGTACAATGTGCATTGGATGAAAAACATGAGCTGCAACAAGAAGTTGAATTGTTGAAAAACAGAATTAAGCATTTGGAATCTGAAACTGCTGAAGTCAACGTTCTTCGTGCTGAAACAGAAGAACACCGTGAATATGCCGAACAACTTGAGAAACAATTTTCTGCTCAAGTGGCTATTATTGAAGCTTTAAAAGCGAAGTTGTTAGAGGTAAGTTGCATTGTTAGCCTTTTCAAGCACGTTTATTGCAGTGAAAGTATGAAAGAAAATGTAGTGAATGAAATTATTGTTTTTGTTAACGTTTATAATTAGTTTTTTTTTCTTTGCAAGCTAATTATTAATGCTCAATGAATCAGTATAATATCAGTATTTAATGTTTACAGCAACGAGCAAATGCCATTTCTTCATCGGCAGCTGACCAGTCTAATTTTGAAGAGGCACGAATTAGTAAGCAGACATTACCGGAAGAATCACGTGAATTCCGTGAAACTGTCGGCATCTAACTTTAAGAATGCACAGACTTTCTTGTCATTTAAATCTGAAAACTTTTGGGCAATCACATCGAAAATTCGAAACTACAGCAACAGCAACGCCAAAGTCAACAGCTACGATGACAGCAACGACAACAGCAGCAGCAACAGCAGCAACGGCAACAGAAACAACGATATACATACGCACATTACAATGGCACAAGCAACAAATTCTGATATTTGAATCCGTATGTGCAGTTAATGTTGTGTCAATGTGAATAATTTCATCCACCAGTTAAATGAGCTTATTACAGACGTTGAAAACGTAAACGGAAAAAAAAAAGACATGTTCATCGCTATATTTTTGTTGTACCACAACTGTTCGGAAATTGTTCTATTCGTTTTGTTAATTGTTCAGTTACCATGTTTTCTTGCTTTTTTATTCCTTATGAGTCCTTTGTTCGTCATCTTGAACATAGAGCTTTGGAAATCAGATAGCAGTAAGTTGATCAGTTATTTGGTTGTCACATGATTTCTTCTCAATTCTGCTCTTCTTTGGTGGTTGACTGGGTATTGTTGGAATTACTGACATTTCAAATCATAAAAATCGACCATGAGACAATTATTTCGGGTTGTCATGTGGATGTTATGAGGGTTTGAGTTATTTTTATTTTTATTTTTTTTGATTTACCTAAATGCGTTGTAAGATGTTAGATGTAGACTCTTGGAATGTCTCACAAAATATTCAGAGCATCTTGTAATTGTTACCCAGTATTTATCGCTTCCCTCTTTTCAATTTTAATTTGTCGTTTTCATGCCCTGTTTAAACAACGGAATTGGAATGCTCTTATGGGTAAGCAAAGTCGAAAACACCAGAAAAAGAAGGGAATAAATTTTTTTACCATAAAAACAAGAATTTTTTTTTGTTCTCTATCTTTGTCTTCAGTTGTTACTTTCTACACCATTAATCTGTACAGATAATAGATGATAAAATAATTTGTTTTTAACCTTTAAAGGTTAACCTCTTTTTTTTGATTTTAGAACAGCTTATAAATGGAGATATACATTGCACAGAAGCAGTTTTTTGTATTGAATAATTATTTTAATGAATATTTGTATCAATATATGATGATTACTTTTTTTTTCAGCTGTGTACAAAAGAAAATTGATAAAAAAAGGAAGGAATAAGTAGAAATTTATATTATAAATTTAGTTTAAACACTGTATATAATTGTATAATTGAACTTATTATCTGTTTTTTTTCTTCCTCTCCCCCCTTCAGTTCTTTCTTCAATGAATTCATCTGTTTTGTTGTTGTTTTACTCGCTTCAGTTTTCTCAACGCAGACAATGCAGTACAATTAAATGGATAAATTTGAAGACACAAAATTTACAAATATGTTTTATCGTTAGTGAAACTTTATTTTCACAGATTTCACTGCTGCATTAGAATACCATTTCGACGGATCAGACACTAATGTACTGAAATGGGGGAACTAAGATTTTTGTTTCCTACCTCTTCCATTAATCGATGATTGATAGATTGGGTGGCAAAGATTTAAAATATCGGCACTAAAAATGATGATAATTACTGGAACAGCAGATTGTTTCCTCAATTTTTTGCCCAGTAGCAGTCAGTTGTTTGAAGCCTAAATTTCTGCAGCAAAACAGTTTCGGTTACAGTTTTATATTATCTGTTGGTTTTATTTGACTATATATGACAAGCTTAGACACCAAAAATGTGAAACAATTTTTTTTAATTATACGGTTTTTATTGTCATTACAACTTTTTACCCACCTTTTTTTCTCGCTATTAAACAATTATATAAGGCATTATCAGTCACATTGTAAATACTGAACTAAATAGATAAATAACATACGTATATATGAATTTAAAATGCTTAGCTAAATCCATCTTTATAAATATGAACGTTAACAAACAGCAAAAAAAAAAAAAAAGAAAAAAAAAACAGTTCCACTTTGCCAAACCAGTCTTCAATGTCTATACTTTTCAAAAAATAAGGAATAAATTTTCAGTGCTTTTGCTTTCTTTTAAGTGTTATTTTTAACTAAAACATTTGTGAATGTGAAACAACGTTTCATTCTCTTCCGATGAGGACTTAAATGTTTCCTATTCTGCCACCCCGCCTCCCCCCCCCTCCCTGAAATACTTAGAGCATAAAACAGGATTGTTTAACATGCTTTTTGCACATCCCCCAAATTGCTCTATTAATCTTCCCAGAAATTTCAAT